ACACCTCCCACGTGGACTTGATTCTTGGAGTTCTCAAAAACGTCCAGGGTTTCCTCTGTCCCTTCTGCGGTGGTTTTTTCTTCTTCCCCGCCCCCTCCCCGACTTTGGCCAGACCCCTCTTTTCCTTTCCCCCTGTAGGCGACCAGAGAACTCCCAGTGTCTAGACTCCCTAGTCTAGGAGCACCCTGACTGTCAACGAAAGATGCCAATCACAGGCAGCCTTTGCCAGATCTCTGGGAACTGATTTTCTTTTCTTTTTTTTTTTTTTAAATCAGGTTGACAGCAGAAAGGAAATGAACATAGGAACCGCCTAGAAACAGCAGGGTGTCTCCGACCGCCCAGAGGACGCCGAGCATGTCAAGAAGGAACTTTAAAGGGATTGAAATCTGTTGCCTGTTCCACTAGGAATAGTGTTTGCAAGGCACAAGGTGTCTTTTGGTAGTGATCACTCTCTGCGCATGCGCGGGTCCAATCGGGGGAATTACGGCCCTGGCGCCGACTAAGTTGCATTCCTTGAATCTTCGCAGAAAAGACAATTCTTTAATCAGAGTTAGTAATGTGGACAGTACAAAATCGAGAGAGTCTGGGGCTTCTCTCTTTCCCTGTGATGATTGCCATGGTCTGTTGTGCACACAGGTGAGCTGCTGTTGTTGAATGTCTTTTCCACCCCTCTTCCCTGTGGTGTTTTTCTTTCTACATGCCTGCTGGATCATGTATCTCGTTATTGGGGGGGGGGTAGGTGTGCCTGTCTGGTTTTTTTATGTCTGCCGGCAGTTTGTGCTGATTCTGAAGCCAGTCCCTACTTCTTCCCTTCAGTGCCAATGAGCCCAGCAACATGTCATACGTGAAAGAGACAGTGGACAGACTGCTCAAAGGATATGACATTCGCTTGCGGCCGGACTTTGGAGGTAAATACTTCATCTTTTTTTTTTTTTTTTTCAACCTGTAACCCATCTCTAGTTCGCGTATTCTGTCAAAGAGAAATGTACAAACAAGCAAGCAAAAAATTATGTCATTTTCGTAAACGTGGACTTCACCCCTTTGGACATACTCGCGAGCGCGCGCACCGACACGCACGCATCCACACTCACCCTGGACCCCCATCCGCAGGTGGACCAATCCCCCGGCACAGCCGACCTTTCCCTGGCCCGACACACCCTCTGCACAGTCACTGCATCACGGGCGTGTCTGTACCTGTTTTCCCAGGCTGTCCCCTAAGGGTGAGGGGTGTGGGAATGAAGTAATGCGCTGGGAAGCCCCCCGCCCCTCCCCAGCCCGCCGCCACTCCAACAGTGTGCCCCTAACGCGCTCCCATCTCCCCGGCAGGGCCCCCGGTGGACGTCGGGATGCGGATCGATGTTGCGAGCATAGACATGGTCTCCGAAGTGAACATGGTGAGTGGCCTCGCGATGGGCCCGGCGGCCCGGCTTACGCAGCTGCGAAATGGACCCGGCCCCTTGCCCTCTGCGTTTCCTTGGCGGTCACCTCCCTCCGGGCCCCGGGAGTCCCATTCCGCGTGCGATGCCCACTCCTACACCCTTCCGTCGCCCCCCTGGTTTGTGTTTTACACACACACACACCGGCGACTGCGGTGTTCCGGGGAAACGTGCTCCGCACTATTTTGGGAAGGACCGTGACTGTTGCGCTGACTGATGGTGTGGGGCGGAGGCTGAGCATTACTTTAGCAGAATTTCCTTTTGTGTTGGGAGGAGGAGGGCACCATCTGCCGGCGGCCTGGCGGTCTGCACGGGGGTCCCCGGCCGGTGGTCCGCAGCCGCCTCCTCCTCAGAGCGAACCCGCAACCCGAGGACGCAGGACCGGTGTCCCGCCAGCAAGCGCGCACTCTGGCTGTCAGGATCTCGCGCACCTGGTAGCTGGAGTGACAGGCTGAGACACAGTCCATGCTCGTTCACACCGAAGTCCTCAAGCCTGCTTCTGGGGAGACTCATATTGTTCCCTGTGGGGGCCTATGGATTTGTCTCGTTGTATTTGCAAGTTTCATTTGAAACAGAATGAGTCTGATTATCGTTTTGCTTTGCTCTGCTCTAGAAACCTCACTGTGCCAAAAAACCCCCTGATGATTAAAGGGGCAAGTGGAAGGGAGGGGGAGTAAGTAATCTTTTATTTTCTAAGGGGTCAATATTCTTTTCATCTCTTCCCCCTCTCCCTCTTGTTTGGAGCTGTTGCAAAAATTAATTGAAATCATAGTTGGGACTTTGTCTATTGGCTGTTTCTAACCAGTGTGGGTAGCAGTTTCCCAGTTGCTGGAGTTTCTAACTGTTGCTTCTTGCAAGGCGGGAGGCGGGGGAGGGGGGGGGGAGGGAAGCCTGTTGCTTTTCTAGAATCAACCATCCAAGGAACCACTAGATCTATGTGCGCAAAAAGGCCATGCTTATTTCACTTGAGGAAAAAAAATGTGGTAGCAGAAAGGCAGATATGGAATAATTTAAAGATTAAAATCTTTCGGGACTTCATCATTCTATAGCTATAAAGATTATGGAATTGTCTTTTTATTCTAGGTATTTTTGAAAACACAAAATGATGTATGCTGTTCGTTGGGTGTTTTTTTTTTTTTTAATATATTACCCTAGGGAAATGAAGTTGATAGACTATTGACTAGGTTTAGAATAAAATTAGGACTATTCAATCTATATATTTTATCATTCTACTTGCCTCCTCCTGCTTTAAATTAGCTTATTTAAAACACGATTTTCAAGTAATTCCTTTGGTTATTGTACTCGGGGAAGAAAAATTGATGAAAATATTAGTGAACAGGAAATATTTTCTGAATTTTTTTAACAGACTGACTTTATTTTCTGTTTTCACAAACATGTTAATAACACAAAGCAAACCAAAACACACAATTTACAAACTCTGGGGAATTAATACCATATGCCTATGTGCAAATCATCCCAACCCATGACATTATCAATGCAAAAATTAGACAATCAATTTGTTTAACCAGTTATATGTTTCATACAAACAAATGGTGCTATTTTCCTTTTCAGTAATTTTGTTTTGACAATTGCAAGCATCTACATAGAGAATTTAGAAATAAGAGATTGAGAAAACTCAAGAACTAAAGCGCACCTTTTTATGAGTATTCTACTCTATAGCTTAGTGTTTTCTAGAATTCGTCAAAGCACGTATTCTACTGAATATAAGCTTTCCCTGGTGATGCTAGAGAAGTGATAAAAACACAGAAACCACTGAAAAGTAATAAATCTTGATTTACTTATTTTGCTTTGCTTTTCCTCTTGATAGAGCTACCAAGACCCAACATTTATTTTTATCTTTTTGTATCTATGATAAAGCATTGAAATAAGAGGTTTGGAAATAAGTTCAAGAAAAATGGAAGCAAAAAAGGAAATTAAGGTCCAGGGGTCTGTTTAAAAACGACCTGGATGATTAACCCCTGGGTAAATGAAAATTGCCCAACATTTTTTTATTTTTAGGTACTATATGTAGGACTGAAAATTCTATGGAAAATAAGACACTTTTTAATTAACCATGCTTCAGTCTCTTGATAGTAGTTTTAAAGATTATTTAACAACTAATTTTTATTAAAACTAACAAAAGATAGGAATGAGCAGAGAAGATAACAAATATAGATTTTCAAAAAAATTAAGACTGAACTAGTAATTAATTGCTAAAACATTGCTCATTCAAGTTTCACCTATTCCATAGCGGAAAATTTAAATGATGATTGAACATTAAATGTATAGGTTTGAGAATTCATCTCCCAGTCCGAGAGCTATTGTGCATATAGGGTAGCTATGAGTCACTCATATTCCACTTGATGGCACATTATAACAACAGTCTAGTTTAGGTGAAATATAATTGTAGAGTGGCCTGTAACATAGTTTTGAAGAGTATTTTCAAGAGTATTTTCTGGTTCATATCCTGCAGGATGCAAATTATTTTTTTTCCAATTAAGGAGGGGGGTGAACAGGAAAGGAATCTTTATAGTGAAGAATTTCTACAGGCAAGAATTATTGATATCTAAGCATCATTTAATGCAAAACTTTGAATAAAACTCCTTATGAAAAAGGAAAAATTAGGGCCAACAAGTAACAGTCTTGTTCATTAAAAAAAGAAATATTTTTCAATTGTCATCATGAGATACTATATATATGATCCAAATAAAAAAATCCACACCTTCAGCTTGAGTCTGACTCATAGCAACCCTTCATCAAATTTCCCAGGACTGTAGATCATAATGGGAGGAGGTTTCCTATCTGTGTCCCAAGGAGCAGCTGTTGAATTGGAAGTATGGATCATTTGTGAAAGAAGGATGGACAATCTCAGTACAACATGCTGTATACTAACACTAACACTAATACACACTAATATTATACTGTACTATATTATGCTGTGCTATGCTATACTATACTATACTATACTATACTATACTATACTATACTACACTATACTATACAGTAATAATGTCATTATTGTTGTCATTGTTGTTATTACATGCCATCAAGTTGCTTGCAACTCATAGCGGTACTATGCATAATAGCTCTGAACCCTGCTCTATCCTAGACCAATCTCACTGTCTCTGACACACTTACCCTCATTACCCCAGTTATTGTGTTAATTAATCTCATCCAGAAGTTTCCCTTCCTGTCGGTTCCTTGACACTTCCAAGTATGATATCTTTCTACAAAGGCTGGTCCTTCTGCCTATATGCCCAAAGTATATGAGACAGAGTCTCAAAATCCTTGCTTCCAAGGAGCAACTTGGTTTCACTCTCTCCAGGAGAGACCTGCTAGTTCTCTTGACAGCCTATGGTATGTTCAAAACTCTTCTCCAGCACCACAATTCAAAGACACCAATTCTTCTTCTGTTGTCCTTGGCCATAATTCAGCTCTTTGATGCATAGCAAGTAATTGCAAAGACTATGGCCTGGATCAGGCACACCTTTGTATCTAAACTAACATCCTTGCTCTTCAGCACCATGGAGAGGTCCATGACAGGAGATTTCCCTAATGCAACTTGTCTTTTAATTTCCTAACTGCTAGTGCCAAGAGTGTTGATTGTGGAACCAATCTCCATTTATCACTATGCTCCCAAATGGCCCAGTGGTGAGAAGTTTTGTTTTCCTTTCCTTTCTTTTTCTTTTTTTTTTTTTTAAATCTTTGTTTTCTTGATATTACAGTTCAATCCATATTGAAGGCTGAGTTCTTGACTTTGTGCAGCAAGTGCTTCAGGTCCTCCTCAGTTTCAGCAAGTGAGATTGTGTCATTTGCATAACGTAGGTTGTTGATGAGTCTACCCCCAATCCTGATGCCACATTCCTCTTCATAAAGCCCAGCTTCTCAAATGATCATTTAATATTAACAATATGTGTTTCCTTATGTATATGATAGAAGATACAATTATTGTTTCCTAAAAACCATCTCCTCTAAAAAAACTCGTGCTATTTTCTGTTTTTTGATAATATTAAACCCTTCAGACAGTCTCTTTTAACCATTATTTGATATTTTTTTTCCTGCCAAACCATATGATTATAAACTACCCACGCATGCTCAAAAATTCAAACCCAAATAGACTGACTAAAGATGGGCCGGAGACAATCGAGATCAAATGAAATAATACCAAGACGAAACAGTACAATTCTAAAAGATAAAACCCACTGCCTTTGGGTTAATTCTGACTCATAGTGTCCTGTAGGACAGGGTGGAGGTAACGGCTCCTTAGGGTTTCCAACACAGTAAACCTTTAGGGAAGCAGACTGCCTCATTATTCTCCTGCAGAACAGCTGGTGAGTTTCAACAGACTATGCCATTCAAAAAAATATTGTGTTGTTGTTAGATATCCTACTACAATTCATAGCAGCCTTGTGAACAACAGAAGGGAACCTTGTCCTGTACTTCTACTTCCCATCATCTCCGTCATACTGAAGCCCAGGGTTACAGTCACTGTGTCAATCCATCATTTTGAAGGTCTTCCTATCATTTGCTGACCCTTTGCTTTCATCAGTTTGATGTATTTTTCCAAGGACTGACCACTCTTGTTAATATGCCAAAATAATGTGAGAAGTTTCACCACCCTTACCTCTAAAGATCACCCTGATTTCACTTCTTCCAAAACATATTTGTTTGTTTGGCATTCTATGGTATATTCAATACTTTCTTCCAACACCACAATTCAAAGGTGTCAATTCTTTGTTGACCTTCCTTATTCATTATCTAACGTTCCGATGCATATGAAGCAATTGAAAATACCACAACTTGGAGTAAGTGTGCCTTAGTCTTTAAACTGACATCCTTGCTCATTGGCATTTTGGAGAGACCCATGATAGCAGGTTTTCCCAATGCAGCATGTCTTTTGATTTCTTGACCACGGCTGTTATAGATGTTGATTGTGAAGATAATAATTGAGCCCAGAA